TTCTCAAATATAGTGACCTTTCACCATGGAAACAATATTTATCTAAATTGACCTTCCCAGCATGCCTAAACCTATGCATTGTAATAACAGCTAATGCATTTTTTAATTCCTATGATGAGTTCTAAGTGCTTTAGTTCCATTAACCCAATTAATCCTCACAACAACCATATGAGGCAATTTCTGTTATTCTCACACATCTCAGATGAGCAAACTAACTTAAATTTCTTGTATAATATCATAAATCTATAAATGGCAAAGCTGGGATTTGAAGTGAGATAGACTAGTTCTAGAACCCACCTCCCTAACTTCTCAGTATGGTACAATTCACAGAAGAAATACTTGCAGGATACCAAATATGTTGGTGGATAATAAGCTGACAGAAAATAACAATCATGAATGTAAATAAACCCTCCGAATGATATTTTGAAAATTCACTTGCAGATGACCATTCAATGATAAATGGCTATGAAACCCTAACAAAATATACTCCAGCAGTGAAACCTTGAAAAGTGGATGATTCTTTCTGAGCAAGGGAAACTATTGAAATAACTCTGCAAATCAGTATACAATCATTGACCTGAGTATGTGTATTCAGAGACCAGTATCTGAGACATGGGGCTTCTAGAAGAGGTTTGAGAATTACTTAGGAGGCAAAATTTATAGGACACCGTGACTGATGGTTGTGGGCACTGAGATAAAATGCATTGTCAGTGTTAATAATGAGGTTTCTGGCTTGAGCAACTGGGTGATGGTCAAAGCACTCACAGTCTTGGAGCCCAGGAGGAGCTGCAGAGATGGTAGGGGAGGGCAGGCTGTTTTGTGTGAGTCGACTGGGACATGTTAGTGAGTCATCCAAATGAAGATATTTGGTTAAATGTATTTAAGTTTCAATAAATATATATGGACTAAGTTGATCAATCCAGGGAGGATAAATGCATAAGTAGTAATGAAATGCAAATGAATGAACAAGATCCCCTGTAAGTAGTATTCTCAGTGAGGGGGCGGAAAAAAGTCAGGACAAAATCAATATTTAAGGGATGTGAAACAGTGAAGGACTTCTCTTGAAAAAGTGAAACCAATTGGTCAGAAAGATGAGAGGAAAACTCATGAAAGATCAAGTCCTAGAAATTAAGAAAAGCAAGATTTATTTTGTCAAATGTTTGTTTCCCGCCCCCCCCTGAAACTTATTGGTACTTTGTAGAAATTTGATGCCATTGCTCACAGTTTTTATATGCAACATAAAGTTTGGTTCATATACCTTCTCAAATCATGAAGCTTAGTCTGAATATCCTTTTAGTGGCCAGCATAGCAACAATATTTCTGGCGAGGTTCTTATAAATCTGATGAGAGAGGTTTTATAAAGCATAGCTACAGCCTATTTTTTTCAACTTTCCTTCTGAAAATGGTGATAATGGTGGCATTATTAAAAGCATGGGGAATCTCTTCAGTTCTTCGTTTTTTAAGAAAAGTCTACCTATGCCTGGAAGAGACTACACACAAAAGAGAACTATTGTTGAGACTATAGGCAGTACTTATCCCTTTTTCTTCAAATCATTCTGAAAGTTTTTGTTAGTCTTTATGATTTTACAAAGGATCTGTGAAAACTGTAGTCTGTTCTCACCACGGCCATCACCTGTCACTTCAGGATGTCAGTAAAGATGACAATGCTTTGTACATTCCTTTTCCTTCTCCACGGCTCAGAAAGAGAAGTGACAACTTCTTTGAATGTAAGTGCTTAGTTCTGATTTTCTGTCCTCTATCTTCACAGGACTTTATTCATTCATTTTATATGTGTCCTTGTTTATTTACTCACATATTTACAAAGAGTATGATGTTTCAGGCATGCCCCTGGGGTTGCAGACTCAGAGATGAAAAAAACAGAAACCGTCACTGCACTCACAGAGATTGGCAAAACCTGTGACCAGAGAGGGCTGCCATATTTCATTTGAATTTATTTATATTGGTATCCTAAAAGATAGGAAAATATTGCACAATGTTGTTGTTTTTTTCATCTAAATTTATAAGAGCACCCCAAGATAGTGAATATCCTCATAAATGTTGTAAAGGCTTGGTGTTGGTGATGGTCCTCATGTGTCTGGCTCCCTATCTCATGCAGCCTTGCTCTTTACCCTCCATTTGGGGAGAGTAGTTGGGCTACATTGCATGAACTGAAATGTTCTTTGCATTGTAATGTACTCTGCTCAAATCCTCTCCCCTTTGTTAGGAGGGATGGAAAAAGAGGCAACCCAGCCAAGTATAAAAGAGGATTGGTTTCCTTGGCTCCACAGCGAAGGTGAAAAATTATTATTGGGGAAAACAGGACAACAACAATCAGAGGCAGCCAAGCCAAGTCCAAGTACAGACAGCTAGAAAGCTTCAGAGTTTGGGTCCTGGGCCAGTCCAAATTTGAAACCTGAAATGGATGCCTGGTGAGATCAGATGGAGAAGAGAGCAAGGGAGACTTCAGGATAGAAACAGAGCTACTTGTATAAACACAAGAGAATACTTAGAGCACTCATATTGGGAGAGTTGGTGCATTGTATGGTGCATGTAAATGAGAAAAATGAAGTTAACAATGAATGTATGCTCCCCCCACCCAAGTGTCTTCATATTAGTGCTATATTCCTGATGGTTAGAATTGGTAATACCGTTCATTCACTGGTTCTATAGCTATTGATTTGAGAAATGCGTAAACATTTACTGCTAATTCTGGTAGTTGTAAATAGGGACATTGTTCTTTGGTGGAGTTGAGAAGGGTCCCTAAACATTGTTAGGTGGATTGTGTAGTGAGCTCCAGAGATAAACATGGTGTTCTTGGAGTTGACGGATGCAGTGGTTCTGACACTGGAGTTATTTTTGTCATACAGCTTATTATAGTTGCTTTCAATCTTTCAGAGCCTGCCTTTTTTTTTTTATGCTGGTAGTCATACATTTCTAATGTGTTTCTTCTTATCTTTCAATACTTTAAGAGCAGTTGTTCATATGTCTACAATGTTTAAATAGCAAAAGGCAGTAATACAGAAATTCACACACATCATATTTAGTTATTTATTTAAGAATCATTATAAAATAGTTGAATATTCAAATGGGTATAATGTACATTTTTTTAAATCAAAAAATCATTTTGGAGGATACAATTTTTAAAAATTATCTCAGTACACACAAAAATAGAAATATTCAAGTAGCATTTTAATACTGAAAATAAGTTAAGCCTTAATAAATGTGTTTGACAATATTTCACAGTGGGATGCCTTTAACTTGTGATTGGCTTCATTTTTCACTGCTGAACCAGGGTTAACTCTAATGCAGTACACCAATTCATCCATACTTTAATTTCCATTTAATGTTGATCTTGCATTGATTCAAGTTATGCTCTAAAAATTCTAGGATGTGAATAAGGATTCTGGCATCCCTAAATTTTAGTAGTTTTTGCAGATACATATAAAAGTGAAAATATGAGAAGACAGGAACAACAGAAAATCAATGTTTCATTTGTATGTTGAAGTCAGTAAGGACACTGGGTAGTAAAAAAAAAAAGGAATTACAGAATCATACTTCAAGTATGTAGATTTTGAAGACAACTGCTGCTTTTGTAAGTTTTCTTCTTGTACCTGTAATAGCTTACTAGTCAACCACCATCTAAGTATAACTCTCTTCTGTCTATACTTTGTGATTAACAAAAAAAAAAAAGAAAAAGAAAAAAAAAGGAGTAATGCCTTAATCATATACATCCTAAACTCTCCAGGTTGAAACTAATAAAGTCTTAGTTAGCTGGAAGGCAGACAAAGCAGTAACTGATTTAGGGCCAGGTAACAGAGCCCACAGGAAAAAAAATTAAAGTGTTGTTTTTAATTGACATGGATTTTAGACTTGGAGCAGCATAACTACATTTTATTTTGTTTCATTCAGATAAAATTAAATATTCTTACTGGTTGTATAACATACACTGATATAATAGTTTTGGTGACAGAGTAAAATGAAAACAGAACTAAGGTTGATTTTGAAAACAGACCATTTAATGGAATCATTGTTTTGTTTTCCATTTTTCTTTGGTATGCCTTGAACTGTGATTTTAAAAGACTTGTCCAAGAAGGGAAAAGGGTCGCAATCTCCTGAAATTCACATTTTGTTTGCCATGATAACCACAGCCTTTCCTGCCCGATGTTTCTCTACTTTCAAATAAATAAAAAATCCGTTATTTCAGAAGGCATCGTTCTTTTCTTTTTTTTTTCCAATCTAACTCATCGGGGATATTCTTTCACCTTTGATTATGTCTTTATATTTTTAATCTGCTGCTGTCTCTAGTCAAATAGAATGCGTTTCCTGAAATATTAAAAGTGGAGATCATTTAGTGTCTTTTTATGACCACTATAACTTTTCGTTTGAGAGCCATAAATATTTTTTGAGGTTTATTGTGTGGGTCAGTTCTAGTATATAAGATGTACCTCTCTTGAAAAAATAAATAATTTTGGAAACTAAAACTGGTAATGATTTATTATATCTCTCTACTATTTTCAAGCCATCTGGCTTGAAACACTGAGAATGAGTATGAGATTTCCCCAAAAGGAAAGTAACATTTAGTTAGGTTAAGTGTCAGGTTGCTAGCATGCAGTGTATAAAAGTCAATATGAACCAAGTGGTATTAGCGAACTTCATCTGCACTGCTAGGAGGTTGTTGAACTCAATTACAGAAATGTGCCAAGCTCTATTTGATGCGTGACAAGGTTAGGAGACCACAATCAATTAAAAAGAAAACATGTATATCCTATTCTGGGGAAACAGGTTTGTGATAGCATCCCTTGTTACGGTTTTACTTTTTTTCCTCTGACTTTTCCTCTGAACACAGGAGAACAAAGGTTTTAATAATTCCCCAGCTTCGTTTGAAATTGTTTTGTCAGCAATATCTAATAGGAAGACATAAGTTTGTTGTTTTATTTGAATGAAGCCTCAGGCAGCCACAATGAAACATGCTCTAATTTTTTTTTTTTTTTTTTTTGTAGCCAAACCATTTGAAAACGGACAGTATTTGGACATTTATGGAATTACCAGGGACCAAGCTGGAGAATATGAATGCAGCGCAGAAAACGATGTGTCATTCCCAGACGTGAAGAAAGTAAAAGTTGTCGTAAACTGTAAGTCCCATCAACTTTTATCCAAATAACCTCAGAGGAAAAATAAACCACCTAAAAAATGCTGTCTGAAATATATGTTGCTGTTTTCAATAGTCTATTGATGAAGACTACCTATTGATGTGAAAAATGCATATATATTTTAAAATATTGGTCAAATTGTTTTATGTATCATCAAATATTCCAAATAACCTCATCATCATTCAGTTGAATGTGCAGATGGAAATATTTCCTATATCACCCTAATCCCTGCCATTGAAAACTGTGGTATCCCTACATCTAAAGCCCTGCAGGCACCATTTTCATCATTCTTGTAGGTTTCACCTGTAGCTTATTTTGATTCAATGTAACTGTGAGAGTCCTAATCAAACCTGATGGAAATGAAGTCAGTACTCAACAAAGAAAGCAGTTACTCTGCTGCTCCTATTACTTATGTTAGTTAATTTGAAAAATATGGAGAAAAAGAAATTTTCTCATCAACATCATTATTAGGAAGTTAGTGTAGTAAAAAATATCTGCAGAACTATCAATGTCATTAGCCATGCCCTTTCTTTAACTGCATCTCAAAATATAAAATAATTTTTTCATTAATACCCTATTTTGTTCCTTATGATTTCAACAGCCATAACTGAAATATTTTTTTAATTTATCTTTATTGTTGAAAGGATTACAGATGTTCCTTTTTCTTCCCCCATTGACTGCTCCACCTTGCAGTACCGCTCCCTTGCCTTCAACAGCACAATTGTTCTGTGTCGATGGGTTATGCATATATGCATATGAACTATTTGATTAATCTCTTCCTGCCTTGCCCCCCATTTCTTCTGAGATTAGTCAGTCTGTTCCATGCTTCCATGTCTTAAGGTCTGTTTTGCTCCTCAAACAGCATGGAGGGATCTGGAGAATATTATGCTAAATAAAATAAAACAATCAGAGAAAGACAAGTATCACATGATCTCACTCTCTGATGGATGCAAAAGTCTTAAATTTTTAAAATACCCCCTTAATATTTTTCTAAAAAATTTTTCCATTATTTAACCAATTCAAATAAAGTACTTTGTGGGTACTAGTATTTTGCCAAGTGGGTACAAGTGATAGCTTTCAATTTTTTCATTCCACTTATACATCTTATTAATGGCTATTGCTAATAATTCATATAGTATCATACCAAAAATCAGAGGAAAATTTTCCAAATATATGCCAAATTTATAACAAAGCAGTTTTTCATATTAACATCTATAGTACCTTTCAGTTTCATGCAAAGATATTTCATGGGCCAAAAATAACTGTCTAAATAACCCTGGCAGTAGAGCATCTGTCAGGGCAAATCACTGCTATCAAGAAAGATTTGTCAGTGGCCAATCTATGCATTTGGGGTTGAACTATTTCCATGAGACTGAGCAAAAGTGCATAACACCAGATGAAGAGGCAATTTGTGGGCAGAATTTTTCATATATGTCCTGCAGACAAACTTTAGATTTACCCAAGAAGCTCATTAAAAATGGAAAATTTATGTTTTTCCATACCAACCCTACTGAATCAAAATCCTTGGCATATACACCCTGCAGATCTGCATTTATAATAAGTAGCCATTGAATCTCAGGACTCCAGTTGTAAAGGGTTATTGCTCATCCTCCCTGAACTCTCTGAAATTGGAGGTAAAAAATCATGACCACTAACCATATTTATCTGACTATTAGTCTACTGATTCTATTTTAGAAATGGTAGGAAGGACGGGAAGAAATAGAACTGCTAAGGAAGTAATATTTTTTAGCATTGAGTACAAAAAAGTGAAAAGGTGGAGTAAACTGTCAAATTAGCAGGGCACTCAGCCCAGCAAGGCATCCCACTCCAAAACCCATGACCCAGGAGGGATGTCTCCAGTGGGGATGACATTGAACATCCAGCTACTGTAAGGCTTCTCACTGCCCATCCTCCATGGATAATCCAGATTTTCCTTTGTACTTACACTTCCTTTCTTATCCTTTTTATACCCCCTGACTTTAGTTCATTGTCACTTATTATTTAATTTGATTCTTCTGTGTTTTCTGCACAAGGGGCGACTTTAGACTAAGGAGGCAGAGATTTGAGAGAAACTGAGTTGAACAATTGAGAGATGACTGACCAACCAATGAGTCATCAGGATCTGGATGGAGAAGAGAATCCTTATATAAAACAGAAGGACAGAAACTGAGGGACACAGGAAGCCGAGAACAGTGAAGGACCTGCCACCATTTCATGGATGCTGGCAGGAGACAGAGAGAAAGGGCAGTTTATTACTCATAGCCACAGCAGTAGGCAGAGTACTGTCATCTTCTTGCAGCAGTCCCCCAGGCGCTGCTCAAGGTGATACAATGAGGGCTAGGTGACACCTACATGCTCAGTGGGTTTATGTCATAGCTGAGGTTCCCTGAGCTTAGGAAACTCAGTGTGCTGCTTTTTTTTTTTTATAATGGCAGCAAGCACACCTGCCCTTTACCACAGAGGGAGCAATTATCTTTATTATACTGGACTGTAAACAAACCTGCCCTTTGCTCAGTAAGGAGAGCTACCTCTTCTGTCTTCGGAGACTGTTCACTATTACACACATTTCTGAAAAGACAGCTGGGAACAAAAGCTGTCAGTGCCTCTGCTCACAAGACATGCAGAAGCACAAGAAGCCCCTGGGTAATTGTTTTCCAGCGCAGGAAGGGAGCAGGAAACTTTGAAGCAGGGCCTGGAGACATTTCATCAGCCGGAAAGTGTGCTTCAGGGGCCGTGTAGCATGTCAGACACCTAAGGACAGGTAGGAAAGAAGACTTTGTTAACCAACTTTAACTAAAGAAGGGAAATGGGAAAGTTGGGGGGGAAAAAGTAAAAGAGCTTGCTTTTTAAGATCAGAACACAGGAAACCTTTTTCTATTTTTTAAAGAACTAATTTCAGTTAAATGATAGTCAGTCCTAAGTGCAAGTTGTGGTACACACATAATATTAACATAGCTCACACTAAAAAATGGACCCAACAGAAATTTTAATAATTTCAATCAATTTTGTCTTCTCCTTTCAAAATTATTCTTAAAATAGCCTACATTTCCTAAATGTACGATGAAGAATTGTATATAATACTGATTAATCAGTTGCATTCATATCTTTTGAATCAGTATTTAATAGAAGAGATGAGTTCTGTTCAGACTTCTGCTCAAGACCTAAATTTTGCCTTTGTTTGGAATAGTTATTCACACACATACCAATGATGTGTAAGTCATGTAAATGTGTGAGTGTATGTGTGTACTTGTTCCTAGTTCAGAGGAGGTTTGAAACGTGTTAATTTTATGAATCTATAAGTCAAAAATTGAGCACTATCTAAGGATTTTACTGAGGTGATTTCCCAAAGGAAATTAGCCAAATCCTACTGAGCAAACTCTATTTTGTCAATGATCAAAATTGAGCAGAGTGGCTTATGGTACCAGCTTAAAACTGCTCATCCCTTGACAGCCCCAAGAGTCCCTGAGGATAGAATTGTGCCAGGTTCGAGGCAGCCCTCCTTCTCATCGTTATTAATCAATATCGATTATGCTTCTAGAACTACAGTCGCTTTGTGAATAATTTGAAGAGAACTTCTGTCCTTTTTCTCAAATGGGGTTCAAGATAAAATATAATAATTTTTTATAAGCTCTAATAAGCTTATGTGTTAAGTCAATTTGAGAAAGAGATTTAGGTTCTTTGCAAGTTAGAAATGTTCAATGTTAACTATTTATCTAATACTGCTATATTTACTGTATTATAAAACATATACAAATAATAAAAATAACAACATATTTTACATATCATATTTGCCACTCTTATGTGAATTTCTATTCAATTTAATTAGACAGCTGTTTGGTGAAATGATTGGTGTAATTAACATATTTTATAAAGATTGGACTAGTCAGTTGATTTAATTAAATGGCTAATTTTGAGTTATTTACAGATTTTGTAGGTGACTATTCTTTGTCTTTATTTGTATTTCATTATAATTATATATAAAAATATCTTCATATATGCACTTAATATGCACTTAACATATGTATATATTTCACGAAAATTTAAAAAAACTAAAATAATAAAAAAATGAATTATGGCAGTATCTTAATTAGACCTTAAAAGATTAATACACGTACACGTAACAAGAGAGAAAAAAAGTTGGACCAGTTAGTAGGCTAAGCCACAGGGAGGTAATGGATTAGAGTTGGACAGATTTTATATATTTTTTTTGCCTTTGTATTCCATCCCTAGAAGCAGCTTAGAGGATACTGTATTTATTGTAGTTCCATAATTTTTATTGTTAAACACATACACACACACACACACACACACACACACACACACACACACACACTCACACTCACACACACACATACACACAAAGAATGAATGACCTCCATTCTAAGGAATCCTATTAGTCAAAGGGGTAAGGTGCTCTGATCTTGTCAGGGGCTGGTTGCTCTCCACCCTGTTTAGATGTATTCTCCCACTAAAGGTAACTGTTTTAGAAATGTGGGCCTTATACTCAGAGATAGCTTTTTTAAACCCCTGTTCTATAGTTGTCTGGGCTTTGAGACCTTGGGTCACCACTTTACTTTTCTGAGTCTGTTTCTAATTCTGTACACTGAGGGTGATAACACATAAATTTCAGGGTTTGGGTAAGGATTAAATAGAATACAAAGCCTATAGTGCCTGAGGTATCTAGGCAACTGAATAAAATCAATCTCTCCCCTCTCCTCCCTCTCTCTCTCTCTCTCTCTCTCTCTCTCTCTCTCTCTCTCTCTCTGTGTGTGTGTGTGTGTGTGTGTGTGTGTGGTAAGGGATTTTCATTTCCTTAATACAATGATGTGTTCCTATCATGTAGAACATCACCTGGTCCAGAGGAAACACCCCCAAATACTCATTGAATAAATTAATTATTTAAAAGATTAGCATTCTTTAAGGAAATCATTCTACTAGACAAAACAGGAAGAAGATATTAGGTTTGCTCCACAATTTCAAAT